TCTAATTAACCCTTGTTAGGACTGTATATTACTATCTGTCTATACTATATGTCTATTGGTCTCGAACACCTCCATCAATAAGGTATTTACTCTCACCCTGGTATATTTCCGTTAATCTAGATTGGGGACAGGGCAAATTGTGGGCTAAAACAAGCAGTCTAATAAAGCTGCCATTAGTTTAAGCAATTTACTCGATGACCCTATATTCCCATTATGAGTTAGTGGAGAGGCCTTATAAGGCTAGTCATTTTCTTATTTTGTTTCTAGTTTTGAGACACATGTGTGTGTATATGTGCATTTAGTGCTGGTCCAGCTAAATTTAACAGTTATTTAAACAAGATTCTTACCTACTTTCCAGCTTTCACTCACCCACTTTGTTGTGGTTTGAGTGACTTCATTTTTTTATTTTCTCCTTTTCATGAATAAAAACTAACAAACATTTTTGAGGATTTTATTGATTGCAGCATTGCATTTATAGGTACAGTACAATATAGTACACACTGATTGTTACTGTATTGTGTTTTTTATTTGCAGACAGTGTAGGGAGAGGTGTAGACCTGATACTGTGACTGGGATTTGGAAGGAGGAGGCAGACAGAGTGGAAGAGCTACTAGGTATGTATTGTAAAGACACGGGGTAAGATGTAGTGGGCGGGGAGGGGTTATGACATGGCCACGAGGTTGAGATATTGTGCTTGGGTGCAGGCAGGCTTCTTGCACTGGTAACAGCAGAGTGAATTGGATGGAGAAGAGCGATAGCAGAGAGGGGCAGTTGCTGGGTGAGGAGGTGTGAAATGTATGACATACATGTATCCATAAAATATACTCAGTTTAAGTACTTGTACAATCTGGGGGAAGTATAGCTATCCCCTGGTGATTTATTGGAGTTTGGGTTGGGCTTATATCTGTAGAAATTTTTACAGAATGCAATTTAAAAACTGAGTGCAGGGACAGGAGACATCCTTTTACCATAACCTCTACATGGTGATACATCGCTAGGGTGCTTGACAAGCCTTTTTTAATGGGTATTGTCGCTACAAAGAGTGTTTTTTGATAACCTGATGAGCTGATTTGCCAATTTAGACCAAAATAGAAGAACAAATATCTTGTATTTAGCTCCATTGGATTATTTTTCCAATTGACTATTTTGACTTAAATAGAAAGCAAAGGTTATATAAAAACACTAAAAAAGGAAATAAATACAACAATTCTTGATATTTACAGGTAAGAAAAATGTCCAAATAAGAGATTAAAGTATAAATTAGCCAACACAGTACAAGAATGTCTACACTTCTTATTTCAGATTTTTGTATAATTCTCTTGAATTGGGCTTCACTTATGACAGTGTATGAAAGACTGTAAAAGACACGGGAAACAAATAGTGGAATATGTCACTACATTTTAAAACATATAATATTTAAGTCCAACTTCCAAATCACATTGGTTGGAGCTTTGACCAGCTTTAGATTAATTGGTAGATATTGGTATGATCAGAACATGTAGGATATCCCTCAGTAAGCAGATATTGGAGCCCGGTATCCAAGGCAGGGGTAAATGGTCCCAGCACATGCAGCAGCTAAACAAAATCCATGGATATGCCAGCTAACACTCTCATGTATGGAGTAGATGCAATCCGTGATTGAATAAAACATACCTTTAATTGAAATTGTCTAAAAACAGAAAAATATGGGGACACAGCAGTGCAATACATAGAGAAGCATATCCCAGGGAGATAGCCTAATGTGCTTCATGGGACAAGGCACTTAATCTTAGACACCTAAGATTAAGTGCCTTAGTGAAAATATGATCATTGGATGTTGACACACAATGCAGTATCTAATATAATTTTAAACAAAAGGGTACACTTTGTAGACAGTCTATGTAATGCTTGCAAACAGTATAAATGGAACCCAGCCAGTACAATGTCAGCCAGTGTGCTTTATTCTATTAGTTCAAAGAAATATTTTCAAGTCGCACAGAAATTCCATTGTGGAAAAATGTTTGCTTATCTTATATAGCTCAGGATTCCAACATGGATTAATCAAAGGAAAATGATATAAATAGCTGTTGCCTTTTGATTTTGAGTTCTAAAATTTCTATTACATGGCAGATTAATGACCCTGTAAATATAAGACTATTAACCTCGTCACCCCCAACCCAGTGTATACACAGGCTAACTGCAAGGCAATTAAAAAAGAATTATCCTATAAACGCTCATTTATCTTCTCATCAACAGAGCTGATAATTATACAATGAAAAAAGTCAGCAAAGCCAGAGAGTATGTAAATGGTATTACAAGATACAACTTTAAGTATTTCTTCCTTATTTTGAGTCTGAAAAGTAACAATTGTTTAAAAGGTTGTGTGATAAAATCAAATCTCAGCCATTACATATACACTTTAGACAAAATGGGATGTATTCTCAAAACATCAAATTGAAGAGAAGTGAAAACTGATCGGTAAAATTTAACTGAGATTAATTTTTCAGTTTGGTGTTTAGTAAATAATTCCCATTGCCTTTTATTTAATATGTACAGCATAGCATTAGTATAATGAGGAAATATTATTGTGAAATAAAACAAATAATGCAAATATGAGCTGCTATCCCAATGGGGAAAAAATTGGAGAAAATGTTTTATGTTGATGTGCCAGTATCAAAATACATAACTACTCACTCCACAATGACAATTGATGTTCCCAAAGTCCTCAGTATCAGCAGCAGAGTTCATCTGATACTGTAAATCCCAACAAATTAATGATACCACACTGAGAGGAACTTATGGAAGAAATTCTGTAGAGCAATTTTCCAAGTAGTGCAGATTTATTCAGACAAATAAAAAGACAAGCCCACCATGGTAATTACCAGTGACAAAATAATATCGGGGGGTGGGTGTGGGGGTGGGGAGATGATTAAAGGAACAAACATGTTTTCCTGACCCTATTGGGTTACAACCACCATCTAGCCCCCCCCCCTGGGCCCAACATGCCTCCATAAATATAGCAAAATCTTACTTGTATTCAAGCTTGAAACTGTAGCTCTGCATGCTGTTTGCCTCAGAAAAACAAGCAGTCTGCTGACATCATCAGAAGTGGTAGCCTGATCCAATCACAATGCTTCCCCATAAGATTGGCTGAGACTGACAAAGAGGCAAATCAGGGGCAGAGCTAGCATGATTCAAGTACAACCCTGGCCAATCAGCATCTCCTCATAAAGATGAATTGAATTAATGAATCTTTGAGGAAAGTTCAGTGTCTGCATGCAGAGGATGGAGATACTGAATGTTTGGATGCATTTTAGGCAGCCATGACCCAGGAAGGATCTCTAGCAGCCATCTGAGAAGTGGCCAGTGAAGTTATCACTAGGCTGTAATGTAAACACTGCATTTTCTATGAAAAGACCATGTTTACAGCAAAAAGCCTGAAGGGAATGATTCTACTCACCAGAACAAATTCAATAAGCTGTAGTTGTTCTGGTGTCTATAGTGTCCCTTTAAATAAATTAAACTGGGGAATAGAAGGGCTTTGTGTTGCTAGTGGAGGCTTTTCCCAACATGTTCCTAGGCTGTATATATATTTTTTTAGATGTTTTACTATTTATAGTTACAAACAGTCAAACAGCTATAATTAACAAGCTTATGCAAATTATTTTTCCACATCCTGCAAAGCCTGCACTTAAGGTGGTAAAATAGATGCACTGGCTGTTAAGATCGTAAGTCATATGGCAAGCTGTAATAGTGAATATCTTTAACTTTTGAGAATATTTTTTTTAACATAAGTACAGATCTTTACTCAGTGTCAGGATGGACCAGTGGCCCAACACTCAGAATTAAGTAAAACAGTAACAATGTATTACCGGGCCTTAGAATGGCCGGAATAAACTTAATAGAATAAACCGTAAAAGCCGAGGTCAGGAATACAGAAAGCAGTGGCGTACTAAGGGGGGGGAGGGGGGCGGAGGAGGCGGTCCGCCCCAGGTGCTAGCAGGGTGGGGGGTGCCTTGGGAGGGGGCACCGCCAGGAACGCCGGCCCCCGTCATGCTGCAGCCGCCCGAGCGCAGCCTGAGGAGAGGGGGCTGACAGGAGGGAAGCGCTCATCGCTCCCTCCTGTCACTCCCTCTCTGTAGCGTGGCCGAGCCCTCTATTGGTCCGCGGGTACAGGGAGCATCTGTCTCCTGTACCCGGCCGGACTAACAGGAAGTACACACTGAGTGTGCACTTCTTGTTAGTCCGGCTGGGTGCAGGAAACAAAAGCTCCCTGTACCCACGGACCATAGAGGGCTCGGCCACGCTACAACAATGGTAGGGGGGGGGAGAATAAGGAGAGATTGGGGGGGAATAAGGAGAGATGGGGGGAAGGAGAGATTGGGGGGATAAAGAGAGATTGGGAGGGGATAAGGAGAGATGGGGGGATAAGGAGAGATTGGGAGGGGGGATAAGGAGAGATTGGGAGGGGTGATAAGGAGAGATTGGGAGGGGGATAATGAGAGATTGGGGGGATAAGGAGAGATTGGGAGGGGGAGAAGGAAATTGGAGAGGGGGATAAAGAAAGAAATTGGGAGGGGGAGAAGGAAATTGGGAGGGGGAAGGAAATTGGAGGTGGGGATAAAGAAAGATTGGGAGAGGGGGATAAAGAAAGAAATTGGGAGGGGGGAGAGAGAAGGAAATTGGAGGGGGGGGGAGATTGACATTCATCACACACAATGCACCCCTTGCACACAGAAAAAACACACAATGCATTACACACACTGCATTACACACACAGACACACATACACAAGCAATGCAACCGTTACACACAATGCATCCCTTACACACACAGAAACACACAATCCATTCATTACACACACTCAATGCACCCCTTACACACACTCAATGCATCCCATACATACACAGAAGCACACCTTGCAGCCCTTACACATACAAACACAGATTCACACAATGCATTCCTTACACACATATCAGGACATCCCCTACACACTCCACCCCCTGTGAACAAATTCATTGGTGGAACATGAAGGTGGATCCTGGGACCCAGACCTTGAGCTGTGTAAAGGGCCCCCAAAAAATGGAGCTGCTTCCCGTTCTCCCAGAACATTGATTTTTGTGACCACAGTTACAAAACGCCTCCAGAGAGCCTGTTCTACACCAGACCAGTGGAGCCAGACTGCAGCTAGAGCCCATCATCATCCTCATCTGGTTGTAAGTAGGCAATCTAGTATATTATTCGTGGCACTAATCTCTAATTTACCTCACATTAAAGAAACACTATAGTCCCCAGAACCACTGCAGCTTAATGTAGTGGTTCTGGTGTCTATAGCCTTTCCCAGCAGGCCTTTTAATGTAAACACGTCGGCACTGCAGCACTGGCGTTAGATAACATGGCAAATCATATGGGTGGGGCATTGTGATGTCACATGGGGGTGGGGCGGCAAACTTTACTTTTGCCTAGGGCGGCAAAAATCCTCGCACTGGCCCTGGCTGGAGGGGGCTGTGTGAGCTGTGGCCGGCAGTTAGGGCCAGTATATCAGCTGTTTGCTTGTGTGAGCTGTACTGGCCGCACGGAGGAAAAGTGGGGCGGAGCTAATCAAAATCGGAGGCGGAGCCAAACTGGCGCTGGGGGGGGGGATTTAGGTGGGGGGAGGAAAGGGGGTGCCAAGCACAGGATCCGCCCCGGGTGCCAAATTCTCTAGGTACACCCCTGACAGAAAGTAACAAATACGGAAAGAACAAAGCCAAAGGGTCAGGGATACCAGAAATGTATGAAGTCAAGCCAAGTCAAACCAAGCAAAGATCAAAAACCAATAATCAGAACGCTCTCTCGGATAACCAAAGGGATGGAACCATGACAGGGCACTGAACAACTGTAATTTTAAATGCGTGTGGAAAATGACACAGAACACTCTGATTGGCTGGATTTCAAGCTAACCAATCAGAGTGCTCTGTATCATTTTACACAGCGTGGGAAAATTCCAGAGAACTTTCCCACGCTGTGTAAAATGACACAGAGCACTCTGATTGGATGGATTTCAAGCCATCCAATCAGAGTGTTATGAGTCATTTTGCAGAGCGTGTGAAAGTTCTTTGGAATTTTCCCACGCTGTGAAATTTGACACATAACTCTCTGATTGGTTACTTTAAATCCACCAATCAGAGTGTTGTTATGAGTCAAATTACATAGCATGGAAAAATTCCTAAGAACTTTCCCACGCTGTGCAAAATGACACAGAGCACTCTGATTAGTGGATTTCAAGCCAACCAATCAGAGTGCTGTGACAGGTAAATGTAGAGACTTACATGTCACTCTCTTCATTTATCTGTCAGAGCTCTCTGATTGGATGGCTTAAACCCACCAATCAGAGTGCTCTGAGCCTAATTGCAGGGCAGGGCAAAGCTTTATAAGCCTTCCCCGCCCTGCAGAGCTCAGTCTGCGTGGAGCCTTCCAGGTGAAGACAGGTGAAGATGGATTTATTTATTTTTAAAGTGCGTCGGTTGTTATGGATTTTTATTTGACCTTTTTTGGGGCTGAAAATATTATAGAAGAAAAAAGACATCAAATGATAAGTTTTTTTTTTTTTTACAGGTATCTAGCTTAATATTTTTAGGATGAGGGGAGTAGGTAGAGGTTATTTTTTTGGGGGAGGGGAGTGATGGGGGGGTTTAAATTTTTATTTAGGGCTCCCACCCACCGCGCAGGGGTGGGGGCTGGGGGGAGGACAATAGGCCCCCCTATTCTAAATTTGCATGTGGCGGGTGGGGGCCAGGGGGGGAGGACAGTAGGCCCCCCCTCATTGTTATTTAGGGCCCCCACCCACCGCGCAGGGGTGGGGGCCGGGGGGGGAGGACAGTAGGTCCCTGCCTCATTGTTATTTAGGGCCCCACTGGCTGCTCACTGTTTACTAGACATGCCCCTACTCGCTCAGGGGTGGGGGTGGGAGCCGGGGGGGAGGATAGTAGGTCCCCCCCTTATTTTATTTTAGGGCCCCATCTGCTGTTCAGGGGTGGGGACCAAAAGGTTTTTTTTTGTTTTGTTTTTTTACAGTGAGCAGCCACTGGCTGCTTACTGTTTACTAGACATGCCCCTACTCGCGGTATAGCGAGTAGGGGCTGAATTTATTAATACTAAGTAATCTTTACTTAGAATTAGTAAATGTGGCTGAAAGACCAATTTAGGTCTTTCAGCCTTTTGGTAGATAGCTCCCTAATACCGTGGGAATTAGGGAGTTACCTACTAAGCGGCTGCTTATTTTATGTTATTTTAAGTGGTTTCCCTTTCCACATTTCTTTGCAGGGCACTTGTCCTACTCTTACCCCCATTTTACTCCCTTTTGCAGCCCTCTAGGCCTTTCCAGGACTTTTTTAGAGGTTCGGGTCCCCATTGACTTCAATGGGGTTCGGGGTCAAGTTCGGGTCAAGTTCGAGCCCGAACTCGAACTTTTTGACAAAGTTCGGCCGAACTCACTAACCTGAACATCCAGGTGTCCGCTCAACTCTAGTTACTCAGTATTGGACAAAATATTTTATTTTGGATATTATGATTTAACAAAAATGAATTATAATGAATTATTTTGTTAAGGAAAATAAAAACAGTTTCATGCATGAGAGATGATCAAGAGACTTTGGTACATTATTCTTGTACTAATATAATGCAAGAACCATTTACAATTTTCACTGATTAAAAGTGCATTAAAAATAAAAAGTGGCTGTGTATGAAAACTAATAATAATGAGTCACAAAATAAAAAGAATAAAAAAGTGCACTTTATGATAAAATATCTTAAAAACAAATCTAATGAAAGAGACATTATGTATAAATGTACATATGGTCTGTCCAACCAATCTTGCAGGGCTTACCGGTACTGTCAGAGCTTTGTCAAATAATTGCCTAACATACAATGAATCAAGTGTTATATCCAGAAAAGTGAGCTGGTTGAAAGCAATCTAATTAAAGAATTTAAAAAAAAACAGAGAATCCAAGGACTTGTTCTATTGTTTAAAGTAATAGAATTGGATTACTTATGACATTTGTGATTTAATGCCATTTTAGCGGTTTGAATCTTTATAGAATGTACTATCTTGGAATATAGAGTATTTTTCTTTTCTTTGTCTGTGTGTTTTTGTTTTGCTATAACAGCACCAGAACTTCAGTTAAAATAGCAAGAAGCATTTAAATAAAATCTGAGTTAAGCAGAAAATGTTGCTCTCGCTATTGTGAAGTTCAAATGCTAAAGTGTGTTCTGGGTTTTAATCACGCCTAGGGGCCGTATTTTAGAAAGCATTATGACTTCAGAAGACTATTTATTGCAAAAACATACATACCACTAGAGATAACTAAATTGCCACAGGATGTAAAGGCAATTTCAATGCAACACAACAATGCTCATGCAAAGGTGGTACTTCAATCATAAAAGTGATGTGTCAGTAGCAATTTGACATTTATGAGCCTGCTTGATTGTTGCTTTAAAATGAGATCGTGTCAGAAAGTCTAAAGTAATATCAGAGTACATTGATCATCTGGGCAACTTTAGTTTTACCATTCGTCGTAAATTGTTAAAATCCTTTAAAGGTAGGCAAATAAAAAATAAAACGCAGAAAATAAAGGATTTTATGGTGAGATTCTAAGGGTTTTACTTGAGTGCTATACATTATATTTAGAGAAGGACAGACACAGAACTGAATACATATTGCTAATGTGTCCTTTTTATGCTTTTCATGTTGTAGAGTGTGTAATTGCTTATAGTTGCATTCATTACTTACATCTTAATTCATTTGATTCAATATATTCACAGAATTTAAACCTGAATGTTACGCAGAACTAAATGATTATGTTTCTCAACTGTACCCAATTTGCATTTAAGCAACAAAGGAGCATAAGCCTTTTATAAATGTTTGTGTTAAAATGTATTTACTAACGCAGCTCCCACAATGAATTCCATATTTTACAACATTACAAAGTTACTAAACACAATAAACAGAACATTAGAAACACTTCAGCTATTGAAAACAATAATTTGCTCCATTAAAGCAACTATGTTCTTATTCAACTTCTTGTCGTAGATAGAAGTATCTACAGTACATGCCTGTCTCAGTAGTTATAGATATCAAATGTCAAGATTTGTTACATATTCCAGTAAAAATAGCTTTAAGATGAATATCCATCACACTACGACTATATATATTTTTTTATATTTCTAATGTGATTCGACAACATGTTGTGGGGTTCAGCCAAATGTGTAATTTTAGAAAACCCATTCTTAGAATTCTTTTCTTAGGCTCACTTATCACAGTGATCTTTTTTCAGTAGGGCCAAAAAATTATTTGTCAAAATTAATAATGCTCAAAGACTTCAGCTAGACTAAAAGATTATAAAATAGTTCAGTGCAATATGATATCTAAAAACAAGGAAATTATTAAATGAACAAACATATAATATAACATTGACTATGTGTTTTGGGTTTTTTTCTGACATGAAAGCTTGTGTTTCAAGAGACAATCTTTGATTAGCCTTCCAGCTTCCTGTCAATTAAAAAATCTTGAGCACAAATAAGAGTTTATTGAAAGTACAACAAAACAGTAAAATATTGCCGATCACAATATTAAAGCTATTCCATGAATTTTAAGCTTTTGTCTCATAACATGTAGAAGAGCGCTCCAGGTATAATAACTAATACAGTCTAATTTAGTGGTTATTGTGCCAGGCATGCTGTAGCACCATCCCAGTTTGACAACTTACCTTGGTTCGGCCTGAATGTCATTTTGGAACAATGTTTGTCAGCAGTCATTAGCTGAGGGTGCTTAACTGACAATCTCAGCCAATGATTGATATACTGCTTTTTTTCTCAATGTATATTTTTTATTGAAAGATTATACATGGATACATAACATTTCACAGTTCAGTGGAATGAATCATGCTGCATTATATCTCATTTAACATTAGAACAGTGGGAGATAGGTAAGAAGAGCTGAGCAGAGCTCAGGTAGGGAAGGGAAATCATAAATACTAGGACAAAGGAAATAATATAAGTTTGGAGGGGTAAAGGTTAACTGGGTATATCGTCTTCCATGTTATGAGGCTCATTCCAGAAAATGGCTTCCTCAGTTGTTGTGCTTGACCTGGAAAGGGCCTTCCCACGCCCACCTCACTGTCCCCCAATGCATAGTTACTATCATCAAACACCTTTTTGTTGACCTATACGTTCTGCATCAACTATTTTTTCTTCTTCTTGTAGTGGTTCTCGGGCACTGCTTCACACAGAGTTCAGACATCTTTCCAACTGCTCCAGAGTTTTGTGTGTTTGCTCTTGGTGCCTGCCACGTTGCTAGCCATTTTTTTCATATTGATATGTAATTTCCAGTTTATTTAAAACCTCACTCTTAGAGGGAACTCGTACACTTTTCCAGTGAGATGCTATGCATGATTTGGCAA